CAAACTCATTGGAGGTTTTAAAACACTCTTGTTCTGTGAGTTTAGGCCAGCCCTCACCTCGAGTAAGTGGCGGCAGGAATATGGAAGAAGTAAACAAAAACTCATCTAGAGAGAGAGAGAGAGTGAACTTCAGCGAGAGGATGATTTGACGTAAGGTGCGCTTTTCGAGACTCCGGATAACTTTTTTGTTCGACGGAAGAAGCTCAGAGTTCACGCTCACAAGCTCTGAAGCTCAGCGGAATGATTTGGCAGTAGGCATTCTACTCCTCAGAAAAAAATGCTAAGCTCGGCTCATATCAAACTTGCGAGCAATGCTCCATCAAGCCTGATTTCAAGTTACGACTACCCGTGGGAGTTTCATTTGATCCAGAAGATATGTTTGAATTTTCCCAGAAGCCTCTTCCAGTTTGCCTAGAAATTTTCATCTTATTTAATCGAAACTTTTTTCAAGAAGAACTTCTGACTTCTACTAAATTTTCTTATGACTTTCTGAATATTCATCCAACTTATGCAGCAAGTTTCATAAAACGTTCCTCCGAAGAAAGATTCTAATTGATCGTTTTAAACTGCCCACCCAGAATTCATCCAACTTCCTTGCTTAGTCTTTTTGGCTTCGTATAGAAATGTCTTCTGATTGCTCCTAATGTGTTTCCTGGCCTCCCCCAGAGATTTCTTAGGGCTTGCCTCAGTAAACTCTGTCAACTTCATCTGGAACATTTTTCCAATTAACTTTAAATTCCTCTGGAAGCTAATCCAAACTTTCACTTTGGAAGTTTCTTATGGCTCTTCTGGGACTTTTCTTGTAACTTTGATCCAAACATTTGGGAATAGGGAAACGTATTTTTGGTAAAATTCCCGGGAATTGTTTCCTGGGATGTCACAGGTAGGAAACAGTTATTCCAATTCAAAGGGCAGTGTTGACGGAATACTGTGACGCATTACACATCTTGAAGAGATTCCTAACAGAATTCTTAAAGTAATTCTAAGTGATTTTTGAGAAGCATTTTAAGAGATTTCAATTCTGTTGATATTTTCAAAGAAATACTGAGAGAAATAAATGGAAGAAACTATTAGGACCATCCTTAAAGAATTTTTCAGAAGAAATTAATAAAAAAAAACTGCTATGAATTTTAATAGGATTTGCAATACAATTTAGGGGAGAATTCCAAAGAAAATTTTGGGAAAATATAGGACCAACCAAGACAACTGAGTAAAATGTCATGTCATATTCCAAGCGACAATTCAGGTTTTATCATAGTTTTTAAGTTTTCTGTAAACCTCTTCGAATCGGTAATAAAAACAAAAAAAATTAATTTGAGATCTGAGTGTTCTGAGGAAAATCTCAAGATTGAAAATTGGTAAGCGAGGGAATTATTTCAGCCTTATATAGCCTAGTTCATGAAGGCACAGTATTACCAAGCCGAAGGCGGCAGTTTAGATTCTCGGTCCGGTCAAGGTAATCTTTCGGGTTGGAAATTTTCTCGACTTGCCTGTCGGCTATCATTCGCGTGATTTCAAGACTTATGTCTATAGACACCACTGCTCGTTAGACGCACATCTCTACAGAATAAACATCGTTGACTGCAATATATGTAGGTGCAGTACCGGTTATGATGACATCGATCTCGCATTTTTTCATTGCCCGAGTAATGACGCCTCCAGAGCAAGACTCTGGATACCCTAGTGGGCCGAGGTAGACAACCCTTCCGTGAAGTAAGAGATGTATTGGGAACCCGTGTTCTTCCTTACATGCAGGTAATCTAAAAATTCCTTTGTTTATCTGATTTAAGAGTTTGATGTGATCATCTCTTCCTTTCCAAACAATTTCCCACCATTGTAAACCAGTTTTATTATCCTCCTGTTTCTGTGCACCTTGCCCCTGTCCAACCAGCATTAGGTCAACCGTCCGAGCATAGTGTCTGAAGGAGGTTTTGAAAACCTGTTCTCTACCTAGATCCTTCCAATCGAATTTGTTACCCATTAACCTCGAGCCCAGCACGAGTAATTGGTACCCGATACCAACCTAGATTTACTGCTGTTTAAAATGTAAATTCAAACATCACTGATTGTCGGCTCCACAAAGTGTCACACACGAATGAGCTAAGTACTGTTACCGGCGGGTAACATTGCTGACTTAAAAATTAAATAACACGGAAGAGTAAGAATGTTTATATTAGGGAATTGATTTATTCCGATTTGTAACGGCAAGTTTGAATGCGCGAGCGGCTGAGATCAGAAGAGTGACCGTACAGCTAATGAGTGAGTGTTAATGGTGGGTGGATGGTCGTCCTGGCTTCGCCTTACCGCGAACGGTCTTTGAAAAAGCCGTGTTGGATGACCTTCCGTGCCTGCTCCGCCAAGCAACATCTATCGCGTCGGTCACGCTCCATCGCCGCCGCCATTGTCTTGGCTATTACTAGTGCCAAGCCCTGTCCAGTGGCGTCCCCACCGGCCAGCCACCACAATAGCGCGCCTTGATCGGAGCCACCGCCTTTGTGTGGGTTGCTACCGAGCTGCGGACGAGAAATCAAGAGATCACCCTGGTCGTGGCCATTGGCTCGGCCCATGTAGTGGCTGCCATCACGTTCATCTCCACTTCCGAAGCCACTACCAGCAGGGACGGCGACCTCTGGACCATCGTCACCACCAAAGTCTCACCTGCACCGTTGCCACCGGCGCCTACCGAACGCACTGTACCGGCGCTCTCTGGACCAGCACCACCTCCGAACTATCGCCATCGCCCCCCACCGCCCGCAATGTACCGTCAAATCTAATAAACAGGTATTTAACCGTTTCCATAGTGTTGGTTAGGATCTACCGTGTCCGAAAAGTCTCCCACGCCTATACGCCCTGAGACCCGGAACCCACAAAGGTCTTGAGTGCCAACCCTGGAAGCTGCCGTTGGTCAAGACCAGCAGCTTGGGGTTTTAGGGGGGTTCCCTTCAGGAATTCAGCGGTTCCGGTCCTTATAAAACAGTCTTATAGTACATAAACGAATTTGTTAGAAAAACGAACCAATTCCCTGAATATTCTGCAGAAATATGCTAAGGAATAGCAAAAAGGACCATTAGGTTAAAAATCGTAAAAAAAAAATATGTGTGTGCTTCTTGCTCTGAGCCGCTGTAAATGTTTAACCGTGACAATTAATAACTTGATATATTTAGTATAAATTTTTTAGAGAGCACTGCACATGCAAAACATATGTGAAAGTTCCATTATTTTTGTTTTTGAGCTTTTACTAGACATCTCTGTTGGGCTGCAAAGTTTCAACTGCTTATGAACTTAGGAGATTTCAGTGCAACATTATGAGCTTACATTTGGAAGCTTTATAATTGACCACCTGCACTATGTTATTAACTTTCCAGCCTTTTGTCCATTTTCGGTCGATTACGGACCATTTCGCCGTTTTTTCCATTCGAGTATTTGCCTTAAACAGGCACTTCGACCATTTGACCAATCGGTATTTTGATCTTCGACCCTTTGTCTTTCAACGTTATGTTCTTTGATTTTTTGTCCATGGCAATCCCTGAGACTATATTCAGATAATCTATGAGGACACTCGAAGCATATCACTGGTAACAAAATGATCTTTACCCGGGACTTTATTGAGATGGTCGATGAGAACACACAAAGTATATCACTAGAAAACTATCGCATGCTGAAGAATGGATGATGATTCAGATTTTGGTTAGTAATCTCTAGTATCCTCTTCGCTCTATACGCATTCGGTCAAACGGCGCTTCACCTTAAACGTTATTTGGCCAAATGACCTTAAATAAATTTGGAGTTGGGCCTGACCACATAAAAAAGGATATGATGTGTACAGATGGAGGTGAAAAAGGAAATTACTTCGAAACCCTAAGTTTCTTCAATCTAAAGGGAGCTATGGTATGATGGGAATAAAAGCAAGTGCTTCATATGCAAAAATGGGAGACATCGAATGATTTCTTACCGCCAGTAGTTCGACATGGAAAAGCAACAACAGGACGATGAACAGAGCGATAACAGTACATAAAGGTTACAGGAGGATGAATCTGTAGACAATAATATCATGGTTATTGAGGAAGTGATGGACGTACGGAAGGAAGAGGTGGTGGCAATGGATAAAATACATGTGACAAAGGAGAGGAGAGAAGCAAAACAAATGCTAAATTAAGAAGCAACAACATCTTCTACCCCAGTATCAGATTGGTGAATATTTTTACATTGCCTTCCCGTTTTTGGCAACGCATAACTTTTGTTTTTATTTGCTTTCTATATAATCCATCCAATGGGTTTTTTTTTTTTTAATTTGTGATTAATGATTTCCATTCTTTAATGACTAACAATACCATGAAAAATTATTGATAATACATTTGAAGAAGGAATTAGCTGATGAGGTCGTGTTGCCAAAAATGACAGGGCACTAAACTACAAGTTCGGCATCATAAACTAAGCAAAGATTAATTAATTAATTAATTTAGCTTTATTTAGGAGGCACTAAGCAAAGATGAGACAAAAAAGAAAGGAAGATGAGGCTTAGTAGTTCCTAGGATTTACTGACACGGGAGAAAACTACACGATAAAAGTTCTCCCGGGAAGAATCAGAAGAACTCATCACGACCTTCCTCTGTCGGACAAAACAATCCAACACAGATTGTGTCTTCACGAAATTGTTTTGTCGAATTTTTTAAAATGTTTTAAATTCAGTATTACGGGTCACTTCTGACCGTCATCGTCGATATCTCTCAAAATTACAATTCAATCATATAAATCAACATTACCAGTAGCCGGAGGTTTGTCTCGAATTTCCGATGGTATCATTACTTTGTTTGATTGAATGATCGTTTCCGAGAAATCGGCGATGGCAGCACTTTTGACTGAGTTACGTAATATCGTGGTATACCTATAATTGATAAATTATCATTTTCCAAAAAAAAAACTATCAAAACCATCATGGCTTCCACCAAACTCAATTAGACAAATTATCTCGACCCAATAAGGAAAAACCTCCGCAAGTAATTTCCCGAAAAACTCCCAAAAAAGACCCACCGCACTGTGCACACCTTCAACTGTTTGGGGTGTCACAATCCACCCGTGAATCATAATTCATCATTTCCGCACCATTCGCCTCAGTCGCTTATTTTAATTGGTTCAATCACTAGCACTTCATCGTTCGTTCTGCTTTCCTCGTCCTTCTTGCCTTCCTTGCCGATTATTATTTTCATTATTATTATTATTATTCGTTATGTAGGTCAATTACTCTAGCATGGATTTCCGCGCCGATTTTTTTTTGTTTTGTTCGAAAGATTTGTTTTCCCCTAATTATTGGATTTCTTCTGAATCTACTGCTGATGATTTGCTCGCTACACTTAAATATCACCAGAATTCGTTTTCTACTTTCCACTTCGTTACTATCTCGCCGTCTCTCTCTCTCCCTCTCTCCATCTCACGTGCGCGTGCCCATCACTAACGATTGAACGCAAAGTAGTAGAAATCCTGGGACTTCGGCATGGGCTACACCGAAGTCTCCAGCTCTTGTCAACAGAAGCTGTCCTTGGTGGGATCGAGATAAATGGGTGTCAGGGCGTGACTGCTGGCCATGTGGTGGTGTGGGTTCGAATGCGGATACGGTGGATGGTGCGGGAATCGCCCGTTAGCGTCCACGTGGTGCGTCTGCAGTTGGTGCTTCTTTTCGACCCGTTTCCTTCGGGCACAGGCGGTCAAGCCTGCCGCGAGCGATAGGAAGAGTGTTAGGAAGGCGGCTGCGATGCCTACGTGCAGCGGCGAAAGGGGTAGCCGAATATCACACTCGGTGGGGCTCTCGTCCTGGCCTGAAGGGCAGTGGACCTTGCCGTCGCACCAAAGCTCCGAAGGGATGCACGCTTGCAGCTCTTGACACTTGTACGGGCAGTCGTTGCCCGGGTAGATTTCCATCCAGGAGAATTTGTACTCGTTGCCTTCGATCTCCCGCGGTTTCCGGGAACTCTTGAACTCAATTATGAGATTTTTGGAGATTTCAAGGGCGCTGTATTCGTAGGCGTTGTCCCACCCGTCGGAGAAAGCGACTACGTCTGGACCGGAGGGGCAGAGATCGCGAGAGTTCTTCGGGTTATTTGTGGAGTATACCGAGATTCGAGCGTCAGTTGGACATGGAGGAGCCGATTGGAGCAGTGGTGGCATCCAGAAGCCTTTCATTTTCAGGACCAGATAGCTGCCTTCGGTTTCCGGTTCCAACAACCAAGGTTGTATCAACGCAGGGCAAGGAGTTGGTCTGAGAAGTGCGTCACCGCTGCGACCACGAAGCCGTCGATCACTCCAATCCGTATCGCATTCGTCCTTTTCGAACTCGTACCGACCTTCAAAATAGAAGTCTCGGAAGTCCTGATCCACGTCCATTTGCATAGCTGTGAAGCGGACTTCGACAATGCTAGCAGCTAGCGGAGCTAGATTGATGGAGGTGGAAACGTCCGAGCACAGGCAGTCTCGTGGAAGCGGAGGTATGTCCGTCCAGGGAACTTCACTGATTCGAAGGTCAGCATTTGGTCCACTGTGGTGGTTACAGTGCCAACGCCCGGATCGGTTCTGCATGTTTTGACAAGAACGACCACCGAAGCGGGATCGTGTTATTGATAGTCTGAGGAGAGATGTTGAGCGTTAGATTTATTCAATTGGTTGTTAACACACATTGATCTTACCGTACGCTTTCTCCTAGTCCCGCTTCAAATCTGATAGTGCAGGAAATGTTTGGTGAACCACCCCTTCCGTAGAGGAACACGTTGGAAGGCGATCGGAAAATTCCTCTCAAAGCGGACGATGATCGGAATACTCGATCGCATGACTTGGGGTGGAATTGGATCAGAGCTGCAGGTTCCGGCATTGCTGAAGGAGCGACCAGAGGTTCCAGTGGTGCACCTCCCAGCGAGTTATCAACGAATTCGTATCGCAGCTTGAAGGCTGAAGCCGGTCCGTACAGTCGAGCGGTCCCAATGGGACTGGGACGGTACTCGATCGTAAGATCGGATCCCGTTGATAGGTAGCTCTCTGTTGAGGGAACAATAAATTAAAACTCGATTCGAAATTCGCCTTAGAAATATCTCACCTTGCGTAGAACAAGGTCGACTTCCCTTGGTGATCAGCGATCGCGAACATAGTCGGGGAACCTCCTCACGGCAAATCTGCTCGATCAGGCTGGCATTGCGGATATATTCTGGATTGGAGCCTAAGAAAACTGGAAATTGGTACCACACCTCAATAAACCACACACCAATACACAGAGGTCAACTTACCGTAGGGTCGGGAGGTGACCGACCATCGCCCGTCCCAGATGCGAAGCTGCGTCACACACTCGGCGGGCGACTCGAATCCGGTGGGATCGATGGCCGAGTGGTACTTGATGAACGAGATCCACACGGTTTCGTGACGACGGCCCTGGAAGTGGTAGATGCAGGAGCTTTCCGGCGGAAGCGTATGCTGCGGGCTTTCCAGTTCACCGGTTTGGCTTTCGAAGGCGCTGATCGAGAACTCACAGCGACCCGGCTGACGGATGTAGGACTGAGAGTTGGAGTTGACGTACAGGATCTGCGGGAGGGAATTTTCAAGTTGTAACGATGTGGATAAAAATGGCTGCTGTATTTATATGATGGATATAGAACAAAACGATATTGAAAGTCTACTTCATAGCATAACAATAATGCCCTGAAAAGCGTGCCTAATAGGGATATCGCAAATCAAACCAAATGGAATTCACGTATGTTGTGATCATGGCTGTGTTGAAGGTTATTGTCGTCAACGAAGTTGTACAGTTAGAGCTCTTCCATTACACAGCGGTAATGTGCATTTGAACTTTCTGTATAAGCTATACTCATTGGCGTTGGAGGGGTCCTAGGGGTCGTCAATTTGATTTGTTGAACTACACCCAACCGGGAAATGTAAGATTCTATTACAGATTTGAATGAAAGGTATGCAGAATTTACAGTGTTTGGCAACATGAACAAGTTCTAGAATGTGGCACTGGAAGATTTTTTGAATAATGTTGAAATTTTTATGTTAGCTTAATTTTCGAGTAAAGTTTGCTTCCTCAAATGCATTCCATCTAGAAAATAATCTCGTGAAGGTTTTTTTTTACAAAAATATGCATACTGGAAAAACTTGCTTGTACGCTACGCTACGTCCATTGAAAGAACTGCCATTAAATTTTCTATTTGAATTATATGCAGAGGTTGTACTAACTCCAACCCTATATTGGATATAAGAAAAATGTGTTTTGCTTGTACGGTTCGATAAAAACTTGTGACAAAGCTATTCAATCGTTACCACATTTAATGGCACAATGCCAATGCATCCTGTTATGATTGTATGCATTTCCACTGTAATCAATGGCTTGACCACTTGAAAAAATGTTCCCAGAGACAGTGTTCCATTAATGAGCACGTTGATCCGTCATCCAGGAACGCATAGGTAGAGATGGACCTCCCTTTTCCATGTATCGTGACTTTGACGTGCTTCAACAGTACTGTGTCAAGACAACAGTGGTGGGTATTGCAGGATGCAGTGTCTGTTTTTATCATTTACTATCACATGCAAGGAGTAGGTCGCTTCAACCCAGTGTCGATGAATTGCGTTTGTTTTGAACATCTTCGTAGCTACGAAACGAGCGAAATGAACAAATGAGTTTATTATACATCAACGAATACGCGTTTGTTGATATTCACCAGTGCTCGATTATCAAACACAAAATTGTCAAAATCAGAAGTGATCCTCAAAAGCAAAATAATCAACGACATTTTGGGAAAAATGATTATTTTGAATATTGACGACCACACTGCAAAAATCATCGATATTATCATCAGATCAGCTTGAGGCAATAATTTGCCGTCGACTTATGTCTAAAAACCACGTTCTTCAGCACTATATTTTTTTTAAATGAAAATAATCATTTTGCATTTGATTCTCAATATCATCCCGACCAAGATGAAGAAGAATATCAATATTTACAACAACAACAGAGGCGATAATGAGAATCCAGCCACGAATGAAGAAAAACAAATGTTATTTTTGATACTCCGAGGTTGCCTAGATCAAGGGAATTTGTTTATATCAAAATTGAAATTCATGCAGGTAGTTGGTCTATCTGTTAAGGTTTTCTTCATTTTCAGCTAAATTGAGTGTAGAAGAAAAGATTTTTATCAGCACTGGCAGGATGGCGTGAACTTATTCGGCGGATTTACTTGACCAGAAGCTGTCGATGCCTGTCTATGTCTCTGATCATCATGCAGAAGCTGATGGTGCAAAAATGGGCATCCATTCTGTCTGCAAGGAATATTCACTTCACATGACTTCAAATGTTTTTTTCAACCATTTTCTGAACAGCTTTTTCTCTTTAATAACTGGGATTGCGAATTCATCTTCAGGAATTTTTCGCATTTATCCAAGGTCGGACAGGCCTTGCCGGATGTATAGCACATTTTTTGTCCGATCTTGCTTTCCTTAGCCTCCGTGTGGGTGTTCCGACTGCGTCTTTCTAGTTGCTTGGTACATTTTTCACTTGTGCTTGTCTCGTTACCTTGCCCAGGGCATCAACTAGTTGACCTATCCACTCGCTGAATTCCGAAAACGAAACAGTTCTTTTCGATTGACGAAAGATGGCCCAATTCATCTTTATCACAGAAGGCAGGTGATCTACGAGTTCCTGTACTAAAGCTACCGTATGCGTGATAATGTTTGAACCATCGTACAAATAAGGTTCCCGTTTCACCTGTGCATACAATGCCTTGGTTTTCTTTGCATGCACGTAGCATATAGCTCATACCGTAGTAGGCTGTGTATAAAAAAAATGATTTACTTAGTTTGACAGTTGCACCATGACGAAGTGGCAGCGAATTCGTGATTTGTCCCACGCGCAAATGTCGTAAAAACACATTTCAATCGCCGTGGGAGTGTCCCGGTGGACCGTCAAAAGAGTTTTAGACCGAGAAAAGAAAGGACAACTATCCGCGAAGGTGGCCACAGGTCGTCCGAGGTCATCTTGGGTTCCGAGCGTTATCGCTGCTACCAAAAGGAAGATTCGGGTGAATCAAGTGCTTTCAATAAGGAAAATGGCAAAGGAACACGGGATCAGTGACTTTACGGCATGGAAGATCGTAAAGGAAGATTGCGGGGCACCCCTGCTTCAAATGTTTCATCTGTACCTACTCCCCTCGCTGCTAACAATGTTCAACGAGTTAATGGAGCTACCTATGCTGCTATTGCAGCGGGTAGAAATCAAAATACTAACCAACGTTCTAACGGAAATTTTGACAATTTTGACTTAGGAAGCATTACTGCCCCTAAAATGGAATTTTTACAGAATTAATTAATTGACATGATTTCTGATATGCTTAAATCTAACTCCATGTTTGATGCTATTCAAACTGGAGTAAATTTTTTATTAAATTTGTCATGACTTTAAAATTCAGTAATGGATTTTAAAGCATTAAACATTTTAAATTGGAATGCTCGATCTCTTCAAGATAATGAAGACGAGCTATTTAACTTTTTAAGAGTTCATAACGTGCATATTGCCGTTATAACTGAAACGTTCCTTAAACCTGACCATAAGGTTAAGAAGGACTCAAATTATTTAATTTATAGAAATGATCGTCTTGATGGACCCTGTGGAGGCGTTGCCATAATTGTTCACCGACGAATCAAACATAAAATTTTTTTCTTCATTTGAAACCAAAGTTTTTGAAACGTTGGGAGTTTGTGTTGAAACAAAATTTGGACAACTTACGTTTATAGCTGCCTATTTGCCATTCCAATGCGTAGGCCAGCAAAAGAATTTTCTCAAGGGTGACCACCAGAAACTTACCCGTCATAGGTCTAAATTCTTCATTATTGGTGATTTTAATGCAAAACACCGCTCATGGAATAATGCTCAAAGCAATTCCAATGGTAATATTCTGTTTGATGATTGTTCTGCAGGTTATTACACTATTCAATATCCAAACAGCCCAACATGCTTTTCTTCTGCAAGAAATCCCTCCACTATTGATTTGGTCTTAACTGATTCATGTCAACTTTGTAGCCAATTGGTTACCCATGCTGACTTCGGTTCTGATCACCTTCCAGTAACTTTTGAAATATCCCAAGAAATAATTTGTAATCCCAACAGCTCTACTTTCAATTACCATAGGGCTGATTGGGAGCAATATCGAACATTTATGGAATATAACTTCGATCCAAACATTCCTTTGCAAACCAAAGATGAAATTAATTATGCTCTTGAATCTCTGACTACTTCTATAGTTGAAGCAAGAGCTGCCTCAGTACCAAAATGCGAGGTTAAATTCGATTCAATTATAATAGACGACGATCTTCAGCTCTTGATCCGTCTTAAAAATGTCCGTAGGAGACAATATCAAAGAACACGCGATCCTGCCATGAAAGTTATCTGGCGGGATATACAAAAACAAATTAAAAAACGATTCTCTGCCCTGAGGAACAAAACTTTTGAAAATAATGTTTCTAAATAAGACCCGAGTTCCGAACCCTTTTGAAAACTCACAAAAATTTTGAAAAAACCTCAAAAGCCAATTCCAGCGCTTAAAGAAGGTGGTAAAATTTTGATCACAAATTTGGAAAAAGCTCAAAAACTTGCTAAGCAATTCGAGAGTTCCCATAATTTCAGTTTGGGTCTTACTAGTCCTATTGAGAATCAGGTTGCTCGGGATTTTCTGAATATTTTCTCTCGGGAAAATATTTTTGATGATTCCTGGGGGACTTTTTTTATACGAAGTAAGGTCTATAACTAAAAAGTTTCAAAATATGAAAGCTCCAGGTGATGATGGAATTTTCTATATCCTCATCAAAAAACTCCCAGAGAGTACCTTGTCTTTCTTGGTAAAATTATTTAACAGATGTTTCCATTTGGCATACTTTCCTGATAAATGGAAAAATGCAAAAGTTGTTCCAATTTTGAAGCCAGATAAAAATCCAGCTGAAGCTTCTAGCTACCGTCCAATAAGTTTGCTTTCTTCAATAAGTAAACTTTTTGAAAAGATTATTTTGAATAGAATGATGCTTCACATCAATACGAACTCAATTTTTGCAGATCAGCAGTTTGGATTTTGCCATGGGCATTCAACTACTCATCAACTCTTAAGAGTTACCAATTTAATTCGTTCAAACAAATCTGAAGGCCACTCAACTGGAGTTGCTCTTCTAGACATAGAAAAAGCGTTCGACAGTGTTTGGCATGAAGGTTTGATTGCTAAATTGAAAAAGTTTAATTTTCCCTCTTTACATTATGAAATTAGTTCAAAATTATTTAACAGACAGAACTCTGCAGGTAAATTATCAAAATTCCAAATCTAATCGACTATCTGTTAGAGCAGGAGTTCCTCAGGGTAGACCTCCCTGATTTGCCTCAGGGTTGCCACAAATCTTTGTTCGCTGATGACACAGGCATTTCCGCTAAAGGAAGAAGTCTTCGTGTTATCTGCAGCAGACTGCAGAAAAGTTTAGATATTTTCTCTTCCTATTTACAAAAATGGAAGATTTCTCCCAACGCTTCCAAAACTCAACTTTTAATATTTCCACATAAGCCTAGACCTTCCTTTATGAAACCTAGTAGTAGTCACATAGTCACTATGAGCGGAGTTCCAATTTCCTGGTCAAACCAAGTGAAATATCTTGGATTAGTACTTGACCAAAAATTAACTTTTAAAGACCACATTGAGGGCATTCAAGCCAAATGTAACAAATATATAAAATGTTTGTATCCTCTTAAAAACAGAAAATCCAAACTTTGCCTGACGAATAAACTTCTAATATTTAAACAAGTTTTTAGACCGGCCATGCTTTACGCTGTGCCAATATGGTCTAGTTGTTGCACTACCAGGAAAAAAGCACTTCAAAGGATTCAGAACAAAGTTCTGAATATGATTTTGAAGTTGCCTCCCTAGTATAGTACTACCGAAGTACATAGAATTTCGAATGTTGAGACTTTAGAACAAATGTCCAACAAAATAATGAATAATTTCAGGCAAAAATCGTTGCAATCCTCAATTGCAACGATTAATTCCCTTTATAATTAGATAAGATTTAGTTTTAGTTTTTAGTTTTACTGACATGCAGGTTTAAAAAACCTGTTTCAAATACTGAATTGCCAAGACAGGAACAATGTAAAAACACTTAGATGTATATCATAACAATTAAGGCTGGTAAGTTACTGCAGTAACTGGAGCACCTAGGTTAAAAATGAAATGTAATTTATTTTGAATTTGGAACAAATAAAGAGTTAAAAAAAAAAATATTGCGGGGCGAAGTTGAGGGCCCGGAAAAAAAACTCACATGATTACCAACCGCATCCGGGAGCTACGAGTCGAACGATGCAAGAAAATCTTGAACTTCCTTAAGTGAAAAAATCCGGAAATCATGTTCACCGACAAGAGCATGTTTACCGTCGATCCTGTATCAAATTCCAGAACCGACCGGTATACTAGTTCTCTTCCGGTAAAAGACGTGGCAAGGTCAACACGGCGGTCTACATCGGGATTTTAAGTAAGTATGTTCTTCCGTGGATCAAAGAACAGTACGGTCCGAAGCCAAATGTTGTATTTCAACAAGATGGGGCTTTGTGCCACACCTCGAACCGCACTCAGAAGAGATTGCAGGAGCATCTTCCGTTCTGGACGAAGGATATGTGGCCGCAATCCAGCCCCGATCTTAATCCGCTGAATTACTCAATATGGCGCGTCATAAAGGCCAAGGCCTGTTCTAAACGCCACCCGAGTACAGTAAGCCTCAGACAAACATTGACCCGTACCTGGAGATAAATGGATCCAGACTACTTTATTAGAACCACGTCTTTTGGCCAGTAGCTTGTTTGGTTTTTTACTGGCCCGAAAATATCGAAATCCTTCACGCTGACGAATCTTTCTGACGGTGCTTTGGATGGCATTGAATTTCTTGGTGATATCATAATCCGACAGCCCTTGGTTTGCCCAAACCGTTCTCAACACCCTCAAATACAGTTTCCGATCCTTAGTTCCACAACGACGCTTGCTATGATCCTGCCGATCGATAGTATGCCGCTCACGGAAACGTTTGAGAACACTGCACACGGTCGATTTTTACCAATTTCAACGACTTCACGATTTTTGAACCTGACCACGACGGATTTTCCAAGTGGGTGTTCAAAAATATTGTTCCGTTCGTGGCTTCTTTCAAGTATAACTTCTTTTAAACAAAATGAATCATGCAGATATATGCAGACGACTGAAGCTCATCATAGAAATAAGTAATTCTAGCGATGCAAGAAATTATTAGATTCAACACCTGGGGTAGTAAAAGTCTACTTCAACTGAACGTAAAACAATGTACCGCAATAGCATTAAGTAGAAATTTGAAACACCGCATATTGAAATATCATTAGGTAACCAAATAGTAGACAAATGCAAAATTGTAAGTGATCTAGGCGTAATCCTAGACTCCAAAATAACTTTTGTAAAACTTTATAATACGATAATTAGTAAAGCAAACAGAATGATAGGCTTCATTAAAAGGTTCATTCATAATTACGAAGACCCATACACTATTATATAACACATGTAAGACCAATTCTGCCACCTATTTAGTATGGAATCCATAAATTTCCATACACTAAGAATGCATAGAATCTGTCCAAAAATAATTCCTTTTATATGCTTTATCTAAATCGAATTGGACTGCATTTCTATTACCATCTTATGAAGCGCGCTGCTTGCTCATCAATATACAAACACTTAAGAGCGCCAATTTACAATGCTTTTCTTCATTAACGACATTATTTCACTGCACACAGATTAAATTATCAATTAAACTTTTACACACCTTGTCGACATCTTACAACACGGAATTTATTTTCTGAAAAATCCTGCAGAACAAGCTATGCCAAAAATAGTTTAATCAATCAACTGATACGCCTACATAATATGCATTGTGGAACTATTGACATGATATGTAAGTAAACATTGCAATAATCATTGTATGTAGTCTACATTGGCTTGACGAAATGAATAAATAAATAAATAAATGTATTGACAGAATAAAGTAGACTTGTGTTACAAATGTTATATCCACAAAAAAAAAACTACTACTTACATGCACTTCCAGCTCAAACCCTGGCAGGAAGGTCACCGGATTCGGATGGAAGGGCACATCGTACGGCGAAGTTCTGAACTGAACCAACATGTCCGGCCCGCTGGATACGATATCGGGCAGCGCGTCGCCACCGCAAATCCTTCCTATCTCGGGTGCCTCCAGCGATTTGCCATCGTGTATCGTGAGGTAATCCTGCTCCACATCGCACTGCTCCCAGCTCCTGTTCCGAACAGACAGAAAGTATGGAAAAGTTCAAGTACCAATCCAAGCATTTAGAACAAACTTCCGACCGACCAACTTTCACTCTTCACGCTCGATTGATTCCACAATCGAATTATCACTTGCTCTTTCCCCCCCACCCACAATCACACTCACCCATTGAGGAACAATTGAAAACTCTTCGCCTCTTTCGGGTTCCTTCCCCCCTCAGAAAGGACCAACTTCCCTTGATTCAATATTACAAAAATCAAAGGGAACGAAAAGTTTTCCTCAAAACTTCCCTCCACCAGCAAGCCACAAAACCTAGTTTGAACTCAGTCATCCAGGTACCTTCCTATTGCGCTTACAAAATACAATCCTTTATCAATAAGCAAAGATTTCCCCCTTGCTTCGATCCGCAGCAGTTGCACATTAATATTCCGAAGCGCGCTCACCGTTGGGGTTGCAATATTTAAGCGATCCGGAACCAGCTCCCCGCCCACGCCATCCCACGCTTTCTAGGAAAAACTTTCCACGTTCGGTTCGATAGAGATAAAAACCCCGTTTCCATATGAAATAATAATTCCGAAATAATAATTTACAAGTTTTGCATCGGAAGCTGCCACTGCTGTACGTACCCAGCTGGTTTGGTCTCGAGATAAATCTAGGGAAGAAATTGCAAACTGGAAAAGATAGCGAGCAAATCAACCCGGCCAGCACCGGGGAATAGCGCTCAGGTGTTGCAGTTTGCTGGGAAATCGAACTAGATAGGTAGGTACCGATCCCCGGCCAAGGTTGTAAATTTAGTTTCAACATTTAAACCGGTCCGTGCCATTCGTTGTCGTAGTCGTCGTTGCCATTGCTCGCCATCGGTGTGTGAGAAGCAATAGCTCTTCCTGATGGTTGCACACGTGCGTTCCGAGAAGGTACAGAATGTAGGAAAATTTATGGAATCCAAGGTGGTGGAAATGTTTAAAGCGAAGGACTGAACGATGGTGGTTTTCGCGATGATTCGTTCGCTGAATGCTAATTGGTTGGAGAAATTTTTCCAAATGAGGAAAAGATATATTTATGTATGCATCAATGGAAATTGATTTGAGGGGAAAGGTTTGGATATCTTTGGCAGAAAACGGGAAATATTTAAAAATAAGCACACTTTCAGAATTTGTTGGGTAAATATGCTGAGCAGTGCAGTGAGCACCTTCAGTGAATCTCGATGAACCTCCAAATATCGCTCACTAAAGGCAGCCATAGTTTTCATGATGTGTGCACCTATCACTTGACGCTATCTGGATCCCAAGGTCTTGGAAATTATCAACTTTCTCAACTGCTTACTCAGTAGTTTGGAAGGGTTGTCAGTGATAACGTCCAATGATTTGGTATTTTTGACGATGATTATAAGACCTGAAGCAGATGAGTGATCGATCAGGTTGCTGAGCTTTCTCTGCATATCAAAGCACCATTGGACAACGTCATTAACCAAATCAAAGTCGTTGAGGTGATTCATAATGATAGGCTTCAAAAGCAGCTCGCTGGTCGGAACATGGCCAATTATACCTGGCATGAAGTTGTAGATTACAATGAGGAACAGTAGTAGTGATATTTATATATCCTTGCCGCAAACCCGCATAGAGTCGAACAAGGTTCCGTTATACTGGACTCTGTACTTGAATGCCTCATACTTCTCTTCGATGGAAGTACCAAGCAACAGGGCTAGCTGTGTATTATCATCGTCTTTATCGACACGTTGTTTCCGATACGATGGTTTACGAAATTCGAAAGCCGCATCTCATAGCACAACTGAGCGGTTGCAGGCCAAATAGCGAAAAATTAATTAATGAATAGAGATTTTTTATTTTTTATTTTTGTCGAAAATTTGTGATTTTTATTTTGGTGCCATTACGAAAATTTTGGCGAGTGTCAAAGTGGCTGAATTCCGGTACAAGCTTAGCTCTTTGCCCCTAGTGAAATTCTAGATAGAGCTGGAATTAGGGCATACCAGCTTTTTTAAACAATAACAATGAAGGAGAGTTGGTTGGAAATGCTAACATGAAGCTTTAGTGTGATAATTTATCAGCTAGAGAATGATCTTTAGAAGAGAGTAGGTGGATAGTTCCGTTAGAGTACGGCAGTATGAAAATTGAATAGAAGTTGAAAATGAGCGAAGGGCCATTAATGCGACAGATTTTTTTTAAAGATAGACGCACATCTTTGCCTAACCCGAAAGATGTACGCGGAGACTTGAAGTTTGTCTCCAAGTCTACAGGCAAAAATGTGCGTCCTTCTTTTTGCTCATAAACTGACTGCGGCTGTGGAATAGTTCTAGCGACGTTTTCATCACTACCTAAAGCCCCACGTTGCGAGAGCATTTCCAGTCGATGGTGTGTTATAATGCAATTCTTCTTTACCCAACTATAGCAATGAAGTCAAGGCTCGCCAACGCAAATCAACATCACCACAGGGTAGTGGAATTTCGTCTTTTTGCAATACCACCATTTAAATAATCTAAAAAAGGATAATGGTAATAGAAAACGTTGTACTATAAATCTGATAGAAAAGAAAAATATTAACAAACAAGTGATTTTTTTCTTCTCGTAAGTGATTACAGTGCTTGCTCAATTGTTTCATTCCCTCTAAATGTCAGGTTTTGTTTCTATTTATTTCTTATAAATGCATGTTTTACAATCGCCATCAATATCGATGATTTAGACATGCTATCATGAAAATGCGAAGGAACTTTAAATATAAATATGAATGCTTATCAAATAGAGCTGTCAACTAACACTTCTGGGCTAAAAATCACCTAAATAAAGAATTTAAAAAAAGTCTGATGTTTTTTTTTTAACTAGTTTGTTAATTTCCTAAGGTCAGTCGGGTGTGACACTTTGCGGAGCCAAAAATCCGTATCTTTTTAATTAACATTTAAACTGCATATTTTTTTTCCTCTGTTTGGGACCTAACACCACTGCGACCAGTAATTTTATCTATTGTAGTATATCCTGTGTCCTTAGTTTAGTGCATGTCGTATTACTCCATCACTATTGAGAAATGATGAAGTATTCGGTTTTTTTACAGTTGTCATTTCCGCATTTATCGCAAGGATCCGACTCTAATTGAAAGGTCCCGCTATTTATACCCTTCGGAGTGTTGAAACACCCTCCAAAGACGCGCCCCTTTGTCAGTCCAAATTGGATTCCTTAGCAACAAAATTAAGGTATGACACCGATAATGACCATGCATCAGAACCCTAGTCTTAACCACTTCAAACTAGGGAACAACGAATAGAAGATAAGCAATCACATAGATCAAGACTAACTAACTTATTTTTTCCTTGTTTCAAGATCATCCTCGGTGGACAAAGCCGAGTCTTGTCACTATCAACAAGGCGTAAACAGTAACAAGGACTAAGATGTGTTCCTTGGATTACTGAAAAATCCTGTTCCCCTAGTTTGAAATAGTCAGGACTAGGAATCGGTGGTAGATCTTACATTCCGTATCGTACCACGAAAAGGTGATCCACCCACGTTACGGGGCAGTAATTAAGGTTAGTATTGGGTACCAATTACTCGAGGCGGGCTCGAGGTTAATGGGTAACAATTTCGATTGGAAGGATCTAGGTAGGAAACAGGTTTCTGAAGCTTCTTTCAGATACTACTCTCGAACGGTTGACGTGGCTGCTAGCTGACCAGGGACAAGTAGCACAGAAACAGGTGGATAATAAGCCTAGGACACAATGGCTGGAAAATGTGTAGAAAGGAGGGGATGATCACATCAAACTCGTACATCAGACAAACAAAGGAATTCGTAGATCGCCTGCATGTAGGGAAGATCACGGGTTCTCAATACATCTCTTATTTCACGGAAAGGTTGTCTACCTCAGGCCACTAGGGTATCCAATAGTCGTGCTCTGGAGGCGTCATTACCCGGGCAATACCAAACTGCGTGATCGATGTCATCATAACCGGTTCTGCACCTACATATATTGCTGTTAACGAGGTTTATTCTATAGAGATGTGCGTCTAGCGAATAGTGGTTGGACATAAGTCTTGACATCACGCAAATGAATCCCCAACTTACATCCAGACCTTTAAACCACGCTGTCGAAGAAACATTTGGAGTAATGGAATGTAACCACCGCCCAAGAGAATTATTTGTCCAATCGTTTTGCCAACTTAAAAGAGAACTCTGACGTACTAATGGGTAAAATTCATGATGTGAAATTCTTCTATCATAAATCTCGCCTTGTTGTGCGCCTACCTTTGCGAGAGAGTCTGCCTTCTCATTGCCTGGGATTGAGCAATGTGAGGGGACCCCTACAAAGGTACTCATATATGATCTTTCGACCAGCACACTCATCTGCTCAGTTACCTTTGAAAGGAAATAAGTGCCTACCCTGTTTCATCGACCGAATAGCCTCAACCAAACTGAGACTATTCGAGAAGATGAAGTAATGGTCTGTGGGCATGTCGAAAATCATCCCCAATGCTGCTAGCTCAGCAGCATAAACGGAACAAGGTTCCTGAAGTTTCCGAAAGGCGGTTGAGTATTCATTGAAGACGCCGAAGCCAGTGGATCCATCAATGCGTGATCCATCAGTGAAAAATCTTCTATTGCAATTGACTTGTTGGTACTTTTCAGCAAAAATGCGGGGAATTGAGATAGTTCGAAGTTGATCTAGAACTCCTTTAATAGCCTGTTTCATGGAGAGATCATAGTCAATGGGGGAACTGTAGTTAGTAAAGCGTACACGAGGGGGGTTATAGCACGGAAGGCTAATATCCGATGACATATAATTAAGATAGATTCGCACAAATCTAGACTGGATCCTCAATTTGAGCATTTCTACGAAGTTTCAGAAACTGTTCTGCCGGGGTTTGACGCCCGCTAGAACCTCTAGACTCATATTGTGTGTTGAATGCTTTTCGTTCACTTTTGTATCTTTTACATCCACCTCGGTTACCTTTATTAGGAAATGTGTGGTCATCTCTAGCTTTATGAAAAAAAAAATGGGTGGAGTCCCTG